TAGTGGAGGCAGCTCCTGTTTTCTTTGCAACTTGCGGTAACTCTCTGTGGTTCTAAATCAATAGTTGTTTAGTGGTCCGAAAATGTCGGAAACATTAACTTGCTTGACCATGATGTAGGTCATGTAACTGTCTGTTACATAGAATATGCTTTGTGGACTTAACCGGACAGAAGTTGCTCTCTGGTTTTGTGATAAAACAAAGGTGTGGTTGAATTTATTCTGCCACTGTGTCTTCTTATTGTCTCGGCCTTTAGGCCTAAAGCCTATATCAGGGTCACAAGGCATATGAATTAACAGGTTATAGAGCAAACAACGCAATTATCACAACACATAGGTTGAATTATAGCTTTTTTTTCTGGCTTCCCCAGTGACTTTACCCACGAACCGCTACTGCTTCCCCAGTGACTTTACCCACGCACCGCTACTGCTTCCCCAGTGACTTTACCCACGCACCGCTACTGCTTCCCCAGTGACTTTACCCACGCACCGCTACTGCTTCCCCTGTGACTTTACCCACGCACAGCTACTGGTTCTTGATTAAGGCAGCTCCAAAATGCAGGTGTTTCAACCTAGCTCATCGCTTTCTGTGGTGGAGGGGCAGCCAGCAAGAATTCAGAGCATAGGGGTTGGTAATCTTCTCTAGTTGCGCTGTGATTGGCTCAGTATTCTGTCACTCATGGGGGACACTATTTCACTGCAGAATCTACAGGGCGAGCTAGGCAGTTCAAGCCCCCTTGGGTGCTGCCACAGATTTACATTAGAAGTGCCCGTCCAAGAAGGCTCACGGTCATTGGCCACAGATAAAATGAAGTTAAATCAAGTTATATCTACCGTAGCTTTGATTGGACTGATCGTGTTACTTTCAACATCTTAGCTAGCAAGCTAGACAAGCAGTCATCATCATGAATCACGTCGACAATCTACTAACAAATCAGTTTCAATCCTTATAATATGAAGATAAATTATAGATAAAACGTATCGGTACTCATCGGCCATTGGACATAAACATTACACAACAAGTCGGAAATCGCAAATTCAACAATGAGTGGTTTGGAAAGAATCAGTGGCTAACTGCGAGCGTCGCAAAGCAATCACTATTTTGCTTCCCTGCCTGCTATTCGGTGGAGATGGTGTGTGTGGTCCAAGTCTGGGTTTAAGGATTTAAAATATTTGTCTGAAAGGGTCTATTTGTCCAAGCTTAAAAGGTGATGAGTGAGTCACTTATAGAGGCTACAACAAAACATGCTAACATGCTAACATGGGCTCACCATTACCAATGACACGGGAGAGCATGTTAGCATGTTAGCATGTTAGCATGTTTTGTTGTAGCCTCTGTAACCTTCTCTCTCATCTTTATTCATGATTCATTCATGTTTTTTCTTAATCAAGGTATTATCAGGATTCATTTAGAAGTGTTCAGAAAAACGTTATATTCTTACTTCAATAGAAAATGGCACAAGACATTATTCACCATTCAGTTCTGGTTGGGAAAAACATAACCCAAACACGACCCCCAAAAAACTGCAAATGCATCCAAGGGGTTTGTAGAGTTACACTCTTGATGTAGTCATAGCATGCAAGGAATATGGGACCAAATACTCAACTTTTGACTACTTTAATCCACTTTATCGAGCTCTTTAATCTAGAGATTCACATACTTTTTTTCCCTCAAAGAAACGGAATGTCGGATAAATTTGCTCAATAAAGAAATTAAAAACGACAATTGTTTTTACGTCATTTGTTTAATCAGGTTAACTTCTATCTATTGTTAGGACTTAGATGAAGATCTGATCACATTTTAGGTCAAACTTCTGCAGAAATACAGAAAATGCTAAAGGGGTCACAAACCTCTCAGCACTGTACATTTAGATTTCTATGGATAAACTACAACCAGTTTCGAACTGTGTGTGTGTGTGTGTGTGTGTGTGTGTGTGTGTGTGTGTGTGTGTGTGTGTGTGTGTGTGTGTGTGTGTGTGTGTGTGTATTCCTCAGAACCTTACATTCTTGGAGGTGATGTACTCCATGCCCTTAGCCACCTGGTAGGAGAAGCTCAGTAGATCCTCTGTGTCCACCGACAAGTCATCTATACTCAGACACCCCTTATCATCTAGAGAGAGAGAGAGAGAGACAGAGAGGGAGAGAGAGAGAGAGAGAGAGAGAGAGAGAGAGAGAGAGAGAGAGAGAGAGAGAGAGAGAGAGAGAGAGAGAGAGAGAGAGAGAGAGAGAGAGAGAGAGAGAGAGAGAGAAAGAAGGAGAGGAGAGGAGAGAGATGGAGAGAGAAAGATATTTAGACCATATTGTCAGCGATATGTGTTTAAAAATATTTCATGTTTATGGACAAATCCACATAAGGCTGTGGTAAAACAAATAGTGCAGGGAATAGTGTATCATATGAGAGGACTTTAGTATGGACTTACTCAGGATTATGGTGCATGATGGGAAATGTAGTTTTACCTGACTGGGAGGACGTTCTGTCTTTCTCAGACGTACGCATAGGCATGTAACCGTTACCGTTCCCATCTCTAAACACACACACAAAGAGAGAGACATGAAACACAGACATATTATTTTAAATTTTAGTCATTTAGCAGACGCTCTTATCCAGAGCGACTTACAGTTAGTGAGTGCATACATTCTTTCATACTATTATAATGAGTAAAGTAAAACACACAGACACGATAACAAGTAATGATACATACAGTGAATACACACACACACACACACGCAGACACACACACACACACACACACACCTCTGTGGTTCTCGGTGGTTGTTGATGTTGCGGTAGTACCCATCAGCTGCCTGGGCGCTGAAGAACGTCTCTCTCTTCCTACGCAAGAAGTTGAGCAGATCTCCATAGCAACAGTACTCTGTGATCACCAGCGTCGGCCCTGACAGGAAATAAATAATCTGGGTAAGAGGTCACACAGCAGCACAGGGCCACAAACTGTCATACAACTCCTTCAACCAGAACATGTTCATATAAACTCTCAACTTTGAAGTCCTCTGTAGCTCAGCTGGTAGAGCACGGCGCTTGTAACGCCAAGGTAGTGGGTTCGATCCCCGGGACCACCCATACACAAAAATGTATGCACTCATGACTGTAAGTCGCTTTGGATAAAAGCGTCTGCTAAATGGCATATTAATTAATTATTAAAAGTTTATGAAGAAAGCTAAAGTTGATTATTGCTTGTGAAGCAAATTAAGTGAGTAGATGCCCAATTTCCTGGACCCAGAACAAGCTTAGGTTCTACAGTGCCTTGCAAAAGTATTCATCACCCTTGGCGCTTTTCCTATTTTGTTGCATTACAACCTGTAATTTAAATGGATTTGGATTTGGATTTCATGTAATAGACATACACAAAATAGTCCAAATTGGTGAAGTGAAATGAAAAAAATTACTTGTTTCAAAAAATAAAAAAATAAAAAAAATAGATAAGTGGTGCGTGCATATGTATTCACCCCCTTTGCTATGAAGCCCCTAAATAAGATCTGGTGCAACCAATTACCTTCAGGGAAATTCTTGAGGGAAACCTGTTTCAGTCTTCCAGAGATTTGAGACTGGGACGGAGGTTCACCTTCCAGCAGGACAATGACCCTAAGCATACTGCTAAAGCAACACTCAAGTGGTTTAAGGGGAAACATTTAAATGTTTTGGAATGGCCTAGTCAAAGCCCAGACCTCAATCCAATTGAGAATCTGTGGTATGATTTAAAGATTGCTGTACACCAGCGGAACCCATCCAACTTGAAGGAGCTGGAGCAGTTTTGCCTTGAAGAATGGGAAGAAATCCCAGTGGCTAGATGTGCCAAGCTTATAAAGACATACCCCAAGAGACTTGCAGCTGTAATTTCTGCAAAATACAAATCCCCCCAAAATCCATTTTAATATCAGGTTGTAAGGCAACAAAATAGGAAAAATGCCAAGGGGGGTGAATAATTTCGCAAGCCACTGTATGTGGACTAAATTCAGAAACTCTGTTCATTAAAAGTGCTTTCTAATGAGTCCAAGACTAGGCTTAATCTGGATCTGGTAAACCAACCCTTAATGGAAATCTCTTTACTTAATATCTTGGAGATCCAGTTAGTATGACCTCTCTGACCTTTGCCATAGAGTTGCCATAGAGTTGATGACCTCTCACCTCCCACAGTGCAAGCTCCCAGCAGGTTGACGATGTTGACATGGTTGCCTAGGTAACTGAGAACCTTCAACTCCGACATCAGAGCCTCCTTCTCGGTGGAGTGGGCGCTCGCTGCGGCGACATCATCATTACATCGTTGCAATGACATCATCTCAATGACATCATCATAGCTTTAAATAAAACTGGTTGAGAGAATTCCAAGAGTGTGCAAAGCTGTCATCAAGGCAAAGGGTGGCTATTTGACGATTCTCAAATCTCAAAATATATTTTGATTTGTTTAACACTTTTTTTGGTTACTACATGATTCCATATGTGTTATTTCATAGTTTTGATGTCTTCACTATTATTCTACAATGTAGAAAATAGTACAAATAAAGAAAACAACCGGGAATGAGTAGGTGTGTCCAAACTTTTGACTGGTACTGTATATACACACACACACACACACACATATATATACACACATACACACACACACACACACACACACACACACACACACACACACACACACACACACACACACACATACACACACACATATATACACACACATATATACACACATACACACATACAACACACACACCACACACACACACACACACACACACACACACACACACACACCACACACACATACACACACACATATATACACACACATATATATACACACACACACATATATATACACACACATACACACACACACACACACATACACACACACACACACACACACACACACACACACACACATATATACACACACATACACATATACACACACATATATACACATACACACATATATACACACACATACACACACACACACACACACACATACACACACACACACACATATACACACACATATATACACATACACACATATATACACACACATACACACACATACACACACACACATATACACACACACACCTACTCACGTTTGAGCATCTTGACAGCGACAGTCGTGACGGAGTCAGCCGAACACAGTCCGTAGGCTGTGGCTCTCACCACCTTACCAAAGGCCCCCGAACCCAGGATCTTACCTAAACACACACATTTCAACTGGTTTAAAATCTCCCTAACACTATGTCAGCTGGATGACTTGTAGCATGTGTTGCTGTGGGTGTCAGCGATGGGGGTGACGCGTTACAGTAATAATGGCTTTTTGCGGTAACTAGTAATTTGAGTAATAATATTACAGTTACTGATCAAAGATAAGTTGTCGTTACTTCGTTACTTTGTTATCATTCCCTTCCTATTACAGTTATTGATATATATATATATATATATATTATTAAGATCCTTGGCCCACTTCTCTTCCTACTGTACATTAACGATATGAAATCAGCCTGCTCTCCGAATTAGTTTTTGTATGCAGATGACGCCGCACTACTGGTGTCCCAGAAGAACCAAGCCTCAGTAGAAGAGATCCTTAGTGCAGAGCAGGGGCGGTGTGTTCAATAGGGCGATATGGGCGACGCACTGCCAAACGGGAAAAGGAAGGGATTTTTTTTCTAATCAATTATATCACGGCAACAGTAGTTATCAGTGTTGTAATCTAGACGTCTGATCTGCCACAGTGCCACTAAATGTCCAATCAGGCTAAAGTCGTGCTTCAAATGGCCCCCCCCCCTGTTGGGGCGATTTCAGTCAGGTTGAAAATCGCCCAGAAGTCTGTCATAGACTCCCATGTAAAATCTATTTTTTTCAAATATCAGAGCTTTCAATACAATCTCTATGGGTTTCTGAGGGCTTGCACTTACGCGCTTTCGTCATACGTAACATATAACCATGAACGTAACTAAGAAAAGAGCGGGTAGCAGCGTCAATCAATTCACTACTTCTATCAAAATGGCTAGGCTTCAGTGCAACTCGATTGTGTCTTTGAAAGAAGTTCCTTTTTGTCAGCGAACAAATGAAGATAAATTGGCAACGAAACAATTAGGACCTCCCAGACCAAATTTAATAATTCAACAGGTTTCTACTAAAGGGGGGAAGTCCTACACCCGAGGATTTTCCAAAAATTGGTACGAACGAAAAACCTGGCTAGCAGGCTGCGATGTAGCTAATGCAGTCTTCTGCTACCCCCTGCTTACTCTTTCACCCTGAAGGCGGCACGGCAGACAGCACCGCTTGGACAGCGACTGGTGTGTAACGGACATGCACCATCTTTCAGGAAAGATTAAGAAACATGAGCTGTCAAAGACCCACATGGATAGCTGTTTGAGATTGTCTGCTTTGGGGAGAGTGAACATTCCCACTCAACTGGATGAGGGATACAGGCTAGCTGTCCGCCGCCACAACGATGAGGTTAGTGTTGATAATCACAAGTTTACTGGAGAACTGAAACTGACAAGGCTGACAAGATAGGACCCTTTTGTCCATTGTTATTGGATAGGAACATAACTTATAACCAGCTCCTGACCTAAATAGATCTTAGCACAACATTTTACTCAACATATCATATTCCATATTCACTATAACAAATATATTTACTACGACATTAGCAAGAACCGCCACATCCTCAGCCGGCTAATCCAGTGTGTGAAGTTTTGCGGAGTGTTTGAGTTAGCTTTGCGAGGCAAAGATGAAACTGAGGGCTCCACCAACCCTGGTAAGCCAACACTTTTGAGATCAGTCAATAAATGCTTCTGGTATTGACTTATATGCTGCCCCTGTCTTCATGTTGTTGCTGGACATATATTTTTTAAAATGTGTGTAGGTCACCTAAATCATCAGAAAAATTGCCCCCCCTGAGAATTTTTTCAGGAGCCGCCACTGGTGCAGAGTTATCCAATATCACTAAATGGCTTTCAGATAACACATTTTCTCTGCATCTTGGAAAAAACAGAATCCATCTTATTTGGTTCCAGAGTCGACCAGAACTTCATTTAGAAAGAATGTCTAAAGCTGGCTAATGATGGACCAATAGAATGGTTCCTTTTCCATGTCAGTATGTAAGGCTCTAGACTATGATAATGTTCTCCTGTCCTTTGTTGTGTTATGTGGATCCTAGCCCTACTATGTTTAGAAAAACATTTAAGAGGACCACAATGGAAATACGTTTTCAATCTTATTTTTGTGTCATTCTCGATGATCGTAAATGCATTCTCCACATGTGTGGTTGTATTGTGTTTTAAAACGGTCAAATAAATCTACCTAAGCGATCCTTAAGGTGGGGCGATGGCGTCATCGGCCACTCCACAGTCGAGGAATGAGAGGTGGATACACTATACAAAGTGGATGAGCCTCGGTGATATAGACCGATTCCATGTCCCACGATATAAAATCAAAGCAGACCAAATTAACATTCTAAATCTGTATTCAGGACATTTCAA